GAACCCGCGACCCTCAGATTGCGAGTCGAGCGCCTTATCCACCTGGCCATGCCGGGCCATTGAAAATATGAAACCAGATTTAATTTAACATGTCATAAAGTGCGAATAACGGAAAATTAATTTTATTTGACACAGTAAATGAGTTTTGTACAAAATATTATCAGAAAACCTATAAAAAAATAATTAGTTTGAGGTCAGATTCGAACGTATGATTACATTGATTTGTTTAAAATAGAGGAAATTATTTCCGTATATATATGCTTAATGGTGAAAGTTACCGACATTGAGGCCCGGTTTCTCCATGAAAACATCATATCGATTCGAGGCATAAAAATGTATCTCAGATGTTACTCCGGGCATTTTGAGTATGACAGTTGCTGAGGTATTCGTTTTATTTCTCCTCAAATGTAAAAAAACAACAACACACATTTAGTCTTCTTTTTATCGAACAATTTGTGAAACCTTCCAACAGAAAGGGGATCTTCGTTATTAAGGTATTTTAACTTGTTTAGGTGAACAAGGATAAAAACAGAATTTAACAATATTAGAAACTAGCTGTAGTAACCGTCCTCTGTACAAAAGTTATGTAAATTTATGATTAATGAAAGGTTATCTTAGGACATGAAAAGTTGCATACTTTGTATGTAATTGTAAAACACGCAAAAACACCCATAAAAACTGCAAAACAAAAACTGTAACCTTTATGCCAAATTTGGTGGATATCCATTAACAGGGGGCGAAGTAGTTATAATAAACGCAAAAACGGCCATAAAAACGCAAAACTGGAAATTTATATGTACCTCCGCATGGACCTAATGAACCTCCATACCAATTTGGGTGAAGATCCATCCAAACCCTGCGAATTAGTTATATGGACATACCATAGAGAGTACTATTATATTTACATAGATATGAATGGGGAACTTTAAAACAATCTACCAGATCACTGAGTATCAGCAACAACAACAAAAAGGAACAAGAAAAAATTTCAAAACTCTGTTTATAAAATTGCCTGGTTATTTTGTTCATAGTAAAACGTTATGAGCCCATCCCCGTGTTTGTATGCTTGATCTTTGTACAGTATTTATGTTCTAATTTCTAATAATTTAGCTCTATAATAGCTTACTCTTTTTTTTTGTTTAGGGAAGATCTCTGTTTATATATAGCTATGACTTTTGTGCACAAAACTCCTGCTATTTTGTTGGGTATGGCATGAAGACATTTGATAGACTTTCATTATTGCCATACTTATAGTGTTGAATTTCGCTTGTAGTCATCTAGTGGTACAAAACAAAAACTTTCCATTCAACAATTGGCAACAAAATTGATAGTCGATGAAAGATGTTTGTTTTGAATTTCACGAAAGCTACACGAGGGCTATCTGCGCTAGCCGTCCCTAATTTAGCAGTGTAAGACTAGAGGGAAGACAGCTAGTCATCACCACCCACCGCCAACTCTTGGGCTACTCTTTTACCAACGAATAGAGGCATTGACCGTCACACTATAACTTCCCCACGGCTGAAAAGGCGAGCATGTTTGGTGTAACGGAGATTCGAACCCGTGACCCGCAGATTGTGAGTCGAGCGCCCTAACCCTCTGGCCATGCCGGGCTCGATGAAAGAATTGACTGCTGCTAATTAATTACTTCTTGCTTATTTTGTTTCTTTTGAATATCTATAGCTTGAAGAACTCTTTAAAATATCAATGTTTTCAATAACTTCATGATCAGTAATTAATACAAGAATATGTGGAAGTAAGTCATATTTCTATAGTTACGTTTTGGGTTTTTATAGGAAGTAAAAGAAATTGAGTACAACGGACCCGAATTATTTGCGAAATCCTTTATAAAGTTAAATGTACCACAAAATGTCAAAATCATAGACATAGCAGCTGGAACGGGAACTCTCGGAGAAAAGGTAAACTAATTCGTTACAATCTTGGAATATTTAATTATCAGGTTTTCAATTCCGTTAAAGTGTACATTATTTGAGTTTATAATTAATCTTTAATCTTGTGGTAAGTGTGTCTTCTTGTATTATAAGTCTGAACGGATCACTCCACTATCAGCTCTTTTCTAACAAATACATTGGAAAACATCGCATGGTGCCAGATAGTTTTTAACAAGCTGAATAAATATTACAATTGAAATGTAACGTCCAGAGTTTCTTTATATTCAGGAGCTTTCAGAACGTTCCGTGGTTTGTCTCCAGAAATTAGAGTGTAATGTTCAGAAGGATAGACGCACAACAAACGTCTTTGAATCAGCAGTCTTCGTTTACTTTGTAAGCTATATTGATCCAATCCCTGTGTTGTTACTATTTCACACACCGTGAATAATGTTACACTAATATGTGTCATTTTCATTAAAAATGTTTGAAGGATACGATTTGTTACTTCTATGGGTATTTTGCAGACATCATTTATAACATTCCCATTTATTACAAACAGAACAGATGAGAAAGAGGCAACCAAATAAAAAAATTCCTGTGGCACCTGTTTCTGCTGAAACGAAAATATCCTGTGGTGTATTTGCAGTTATGAACTTGTCTATTTTTACACCTACTTCGCACCAATTTTTTGTCTATTGCCACACCTTTTTTTTATACTATGCACCAAATCCTGTGTAGGCTTACTCGTGCAGTTTTTCTCAGTTAAACTAAATTTTGATCTACCTCGCATCCATGTTTTTATGTGAAATTCGTTTACACCACTTCAGTCTTCATCATGTTCTTTATCGTTATGATTTTGTAACAAATTTTAAAGATGACATTGCTTAATGATGGCACAGATTTTCTTATCATAAACATTGATATTAATGCTATGTGTCAAGAACTGTCTTTTGTCAAATTCCGCAGAGGTAACAAATGTACAAGATAGCTAGGAAACAAATTTACACTACTCTGTTTGTTTGTTTTGAGTTTCACGCAAAGCTATTCGGGGATTCGAACCCGCAGATTGCGAGTCGAGAGCCCTAACCACCTGGCCATGCCCGGCCCGATTTTAAAAGTAGTTAATATGGTATGTCAAATAGTTTGAATACATTTGCTTTCAGGAAAGAAGTAAACTCTTTGTTTTCTATAATTAAAAGGGTAGTTTTCTTAGTTCGGTAGTTTCACGATGCGCAATGTTTTACGAAACTGCTTGAAAATAACTTTATTGGCTTTTCATACCATAATGTTGCAAACCTGCTAAAAATATGTAATTCCCGAGTTTATAGTTATTTAATAATATAACTGTTCGAAGTAATTTACTGTGGATTGATATGCATTCAATTTTCTTCATTTCATTTTACTGTATTACAGCTGAATGCAATGGGTTACAAGTATATCGATGCTTTGGATGGAACACCAGAGATGTTAGATATCGCCAGAAAGAAAAATGTATACAGAAATTTCTATCAGTTCTTCCTGGGGTGTGGTTATGAGTCGCCAATCAAAGATGGTATGTTTCGCTAAGAGATAATTTGTCAGAACAAAACGATGAGACGTATCTTTTTTTTTTCTAGGTTGAAGCTTGTGAGCTTAATT